CCTCCACGCTCAGGCTGTCCTCCTCCCCGCAGCCTGCGGTCTCTTCCGTGCGTGCCAGGGCCTTGGTCTCTCACTGCAGCTGTCTCTCCCCAGCTGTTTTCACTAAGTTGCTAGAGCTCATCGTATGCTGGGCTTGGGGAGTACAACATCCTCCTAGACCGAAGCAAGTCCCGAGACTCAAGAAAGCAGCCAGTAGACCAAACAAGATAAATTAGAATCTTGCTGGGAGGGGCTGCCGTGGAGAATGAGGGAAGAACTCTTGCTTTCAAACCCTGCTGGTCTTATATGTTAGGCAGGCCGTTCTGTGAATTAATAGCTGTGAGGGACCTCCTATCCGGCCTTTTGGGAAGCAAAGAACAGCCATTTGAAGGGCAGAGCTACATTATTATGTGCAAAGCCTCAAAGGAGTATGGCCTGGATGGGGCAGGCAAGGATACTGTCCCCACTTCAGAAGGGAGGCCAAGGCTGTAGAGCGAATTGGACTCAGCATAGACGAGTTCCAAAAGCCATTCGCTTATAGCTAGCCTGACTGCGATCCACTTCTACATGGGTGAAAAACCACTGGCCTTAGAAACTCACCTGGGCTGGGTGTGGTAAAGGTGGTAGACCCCTTCAATTCCAGCGCTCAAAAGGCAGAGACAAGATGGTCTCCTGTGAGTTCTAGATTAGCCTGGCCTTCATGGAAAGCTCCAGGCCAGCAAGGCTACAAAATGGGACTTTGTCTCAAAAGTACAAAACAGAAACTCACCTGATTTATACATCTGCATGTTTGTGAAGTGGTTCTGGAATCTAGTTTTTATGAATATGATCATCAGGGTCATATCTGATTGGTTAAATGAGTAACACGGACTTCAACATAAATGGAGGGCTATGTTGACATGTTCACTAAGTGAAAATACAAACTAAGTAAGGATACAGGAAAATGCTTTTGCAAATCAGTACACAAAATAATGCATGCAGTATCCTAACGTTGATTTTTGTTTGTTTGTTTGAGGGGGTGGAAGGGGGTTGTTTGGTTTTGGTTTTGGTTTTTTTCGAGTCAAGGTTTCTCTGTGCAGTACTGGCTGTCCTAGAACTCACTCTGTCTGGCTTTCAACTCAAAAAATCTGCCTGTCTCTGCCTCGAGAGTGCCGGGATTAAAGGCCTGCACCACCACCACCCAGCTATTGTTAATTTTTTAAATGAATATACATAGCCAAAATTTTGAAGGATTAAACCATTGAATATAGTGTTCAATAGGCTAAAAATGTCAGTGGTCAGTGACTTATTCTTTTTTTTCCCCCTTGGATTTTTGAGACAGGGCTTTTCTGTGTAGCTTTGACTGTCCTGGCACTCACTCTGTAGACCAAACTGGTCTCAAACTCACAGATATCCTTCTGCCTCCTGAGTGCTAAAATTAGAGGTGTGTGTGCCACACCCAGCTAGGTCTGATCATTCTTGTCTCAAAGACTATATAGATATTATAAATGGCTTTTAAAATTTATAATTTATTGAAGTGACTTTGGTTTTTTTATATAATAACATTTTATTCAGCAAACTTAATTCTTAGTTTTAATAAGACTTGAGATGTGTTTAGATTTTCTGTATAAATAACCATAGAGTCCAAAAGTAATGCCAATTCATAGCTTCTGTCTGGTCTTTATCTAGTTGTTTCCTTTTTTTCTGCTGATTAAATTTGCCCATTTTGAGCTGAATACCACCCATGACAATAGGCATTGTTATGTTGTTCTTTTGCTTCTAGCATGTCAACACTAAGTATCAATTCTGGCAGAGAATCTTTGTAGAGTTGGGAAGCATTTGCTTGCTATTGCTTGCTATGACTGGGTGCTAATTCAATGAGTTCCAGTCTTGAACTGTTGTTAAACCATCCATGCATTCTTGGTGGTAGATTATGTTTTCATAATATTGCTGGATTTTGTTGGTTAATATTTCATTAGGATTTTTGCTTCCATGATATGAAAGAGATAGGCCTATTTTTGTATATTATTCTATCCTTGTGGGTTTTGCTATCAAAGTAACTAAGACACTTAAACTAAGAAATGATTGTTCACAGCAGAAAGGTTTCTCTGTGGCTGTGTTTTTGTGTAGTTTAGTGCTCCTATAAACCATCCAGAGCTCTTGGTTGGGGATTGAGGATGGAAAGTTACCCTGGAAACTATTTGACTCTGCTGGGCTCAGGGGTCCCAAAGGTCATTAGGGTCCACTTTGCAGGCTGCCACAACAGTTCTCCTGTAGGGGAACACCAACTCCTGGCTGGCAAATCCCCACCCATGCACCCATACTCCAGTCCAATGATTCCTAGGACTCTATTTTCCTGGGAACCTCTAGGTGTCAAGGCTCCTGTGCAGAAGAGAGTGTGGATGGTCTTGTCTGCTCCACGGCTAGGCTAGCCTGGAAGAGGCTACTACCACGGCAGCTACAAATGCTACAGGAGGGAAATCTAGACCAACAGTCTGCAAGAAGACAAAGGGAAAAAGAAAGCCACAGCTGAAAAACCCATTGGAATTCAGCCTGTCAATCTGAGTTATCCCTTACCTGACTGCTGGCTAGTGTACCTCACCTCCCACATGTCAGAGAATGTTGTATCTTCAATGGAGCTCTCAGGATCCCTCCTCTACCTGCTCAGGATTTACCTGTTTTTCACTGCCCTTTCTAATTAAGATGGTTAAGGAAGTCTCTTTCCTGGCCAGATGACTCCCATCTAGGATCCATCCCCATTTCTAGCCCTGTAGCCTCCCTAGAACGAGCTCTTCCATTCTGCCTCTGTTGACTCTCTCCAGATAAACAGTCACTCTACCTGACGCTGATCAGCTGACCTCTCCTTTGACCTAATGATCCCTCCCTTTATCTTCCTGTTACAAATCCATGACCCACACTATTCAATCTGGGCCCACCTCCTATTTAAATGGGTCTTGCTAAAACTTGTAGGACTTTCTGTGGTATTGAGCAATCATGGCCTAGGCCTCTACAGAGGTGCAGATGTCCAGTGCCTCAGGGTGTCATGTTCTCTGCTTTCCTCCTTTTATATCTCCTCCTCTCAAATTCAGAGAGGTTTCTCTTGCTTTTTCCCATCCTTTACATCCAAGTTTCAGTGGCAACTCTATCAATCATTCTCCCCAGAATGGCTCAGTCACTTCTATGAAGTTCATGGCTGTTTCTAAGACAAGCATTCCCAGGTCCATACCTCCAGCCCAGGCCCTTCTGACCTCTAGAGTGGAACTATTTATTACTCATGTTTCCTGGGCTGAGATCTTACAGTCCAACTGTCATCAGGGGTTAGTTACAGTCATCAGAAAACTAGAGAAGCCACCCTTCACTCATGTGACTTTTAGCATGAAGCATTAGTTCTTTGTCACATGAGCTGTTCCTGACAAATGGCAGCCAACATCCTCAGCCTAGGTGACGCGCCAGACAGTAGCCATGTAAGCCGACCTCAAAAGTTGTATGCCCATATTGTTTTTGTCTCACAGACCTAACCTTTTACAATATGGGAGGTGTGAACAGCAGTAAGCAAAGGTCATTAGGGCCCACTTTGCAGGCTGCCACAACAGCTCTGAAGATCGACCGGCCTCCCCTTCCCACCACACACATGAGAAAACTACATGGGAGGGGTGAGAGTATCGATGAAGCCACTCAGCTAGGTCCATGAAGGGAGGTTTGCACCTACCTCTGCTTAGCTTCATGTGGTTCTGCCTCTCTCACAGCCTACCATTTGCCTGTCTACCCCCCAGCCTCATCCTTGATAACTTCAAACCACACTCTCCCACCTCCCCCCAGCCTCCTCAGCCCCAACTAAGCTCAGCAAATGGCACCACTGTCCTACCATCTGCCCAAACCAACAGTTTTGAGTCATGCCTGCTCCTTCCTCCCCCTCACTCTCCAGTGCCAGGAAGCACAGGCTTGCCAAGTCTCCCCGTAAGCACAGCCAGGATCCATCTCTCCTCCTCCCTCAGCTTAGGCATCACCAATTGCACCAGGCCATGCCACCAACGGTTCCATTATGGACATCTGCAGAAGTGTTCTCTCTGGTCTCCCTCATTTTCCCCTGCCTCACACCTCCATCTGTCCTCTCTTTAGCGTGAGTCACTCAAAGCTGGCTTCATCACCCTGCTTACTTTATAGCCTGCAGTGGTTCCCCAGACCTAGCCCCCTGGGGTATGGTCTGGTCCCAGTCACTTGTCCAGCCTCCTTCCCTGACCCTCTTTCTTCTGGTTGGGCCCTTGCCTCTCTCACAGTTCAGTTTGGAAACCTATGGCTCATTTGTCCATGTCAGGGACATCATGGACAAACCTGCTCTTCCCTATATCCAGAACACTGTGCCACTGCCTTTGAATTTCTGTTTCCCCCTTCTCTCTTCAGCACACTGTCACTTTCTGACCTCCCACAAGAGTATGGGGTCCTTCAGCTATAAGGCACGGGGCCCCCTTTCTTCTCGTTGCCTCCTTTTCAGTTGGATTGTGAACTC